ATGTTTAAGAACTACAAAAATAATGAGAATACTATACTTATAATATCATGTAAAATTGTAATTTTATCATCATGATGTAGGATTAAATAAATATAAGAAGATATTAAATTAGTTGACATATACAATATCGTGAGTGGACTTTTGAAAAAAAATTAATTATATAATTACACAATATATTGTAAATTTATAATATTATATAGTATTATAATTATAATATTTTTTTAAAAATTTTAAATTAAAAGTGTATTAATTACACTTTTTTTCTTATTAATTATTATAAAAAATAAAATTTTAATTTAATTTTAATTTTATGAACTAATTTAACCAAAATTATATGTGAGATAATTATTAAAAATAAAGTTAACTTTTTATTTTTCTTAAAAATTAATTTAAAAAAATACAATAACCAACATAGACGTTTCAGTCAGACATTGGAAAATGCAATAAAGAAAGGTAGACTAAACGGACGGATCGGAGCGTGTTTGACTCTGTTGGTGGGCCCACTTGTGGATCCTTCCTAGCCCCGAATTTCGTGCAGCCACCGGTATCAAACAAAGCAGTTCTCGAATATTCTTCGAGGAAAACGTGGCTACTTAGCCCCCAAGCCATGGTTCCCCCCTTTCTCCACTCCCATTTTTCCTCCTTAAATATCCGTCAAACCCCTCACAAACTCCAGAACTGAGAAAATCAAACATACAACAACAATAATTTTTCTATTTTCCGATGGCCGGCCTCCAGTACAACTTCTTCCCCACCGACTTCTTCTACCCTCGTACAGAATCCGTTCCTTCAGATGTCACCCGCAAAGCGGCGGCGGGGGCAGTTGCGTTTCCGACCCCGAAGACAGAGTCCGCTGCTGATGATGATAAGCCGATGACGGCAGCCAACAAGGGTGCCGTTTCCATGCGCAGGGGAGAGGGAAGAAAGGATCAGCAAAAGGGAGTGAAAATTTCCAAGAATTCGGTTTCTTGGACGGTTTTGAAGCCGGAAGATTTCTCTGGTTCTTCTTGAACAACATCTATAGATATATTATTTTTTGTTTTGTAATACTAATTAATTTGCACTATGTTTTACTCTTACATGTGTCCACCGTTTTACATGATTTGTCAGGTTACTGGGTTGGTAATCTGAATCATGTAAGCCAATTATGATTGCAAGGTCTGGCAGTATAAAAACATACCCTATCTTTTGGTTAGGGAATAAGTTGGTTTTTAGACTCAAAAATCAAAGTTTAAAGTTATTGAAACATGTTATGTTTCTTAGAACTAGAGAAGGGATTCAAATTCTTGACTTCAACTCAGAAAATGAAAGTTTTGAAGATATTGAATACCAATTTGCTCAATTCTCTTTGATTCAAAACATATATGTCATCTTACTTTTAAGGGAGTATTTCACTAGATATGAGCTCCGGTGTTAATAAGATTTCAAGCTTTTAAGCTTTGGAATCTTGAAATTAGTATAAAAGACTTTTGGAAAGGGAATGACTAGTGGAAACTATAAACAACCTGTAAGAAGAGGTAGTTGGGTAACCCAATTTCTCATCTAACTCAATTTGAGAAAACCACACCAAACACTCTGTTCTATAGACAGGGTGACCAGCCCCGATGACTTTAACATTGCATGTGCAACCTTGCAACTTGCAACCTAAACGTCAAGACGTAAACAACAATGTGGGCGACGTTAACAGCGTGGGCTAAAGCCTACAGGTAGTACAGTCTTGTTTTTCCTTCAAATACTTGTCAGAGTTCAAAATAATTTTCTGTGTCACATTCTTTTACCAAAATAATAATAATAAGAAAAGATTAGATGAAATTCATTTTATTTACAAATGTTTATATATGAGATTAACTTTGCAATTCGTCTTGTATAAATTGTTTATTTTATAATTATTAATAAAAAAAATATCATTTTAAAATTATAAAATTCATCCCTCATGCATCACTTTTTTTATTTATATATTTGGTGTGTTTATTGTGCAGCATGTCCTTTGATGTCAGCTGCTCTCGTACCATGAGCATGCTAGTTAACGTCAACGTAAGGGAAATCCATTTTCCAATTTTTACAGAAAAAAAAAGAAGAAGAAGAAGAAGAAGAAGAAGAAGAAGAAGAAGAAGAAGAAGAAGAAGAAGAAGAAGAAGAAGAAGAAGAAGGAATGAATCGTGCCAATTTTGTAGTGGATCTCTTCAAATAAATAAATAAATAAATAGCAGGGGCAATGTTTGGGAGTTGGGGAGAAATTGAGAATATCATAGCTTGCGTATGCTTATTTAAAACATAAGCAATTTGTATGATTTTTTTCCTATTTTTTGACCTCGGGGAAGTTGGAGAAGAGGTATATTTCTTACAAGTGACCGGTGGGAATACAATTCTCAACCTCGTGCTCCCATTCCCTCTTAGGCTCAAAGGTGAACCAACTGGTCAGTTACGTTTGTTCAAGCATGACGTCTGTATGATTAATATATTAATTTCCCAAATTAATAATCCGACTTTGCAATTTACTATTGGCCAAACAATACCTAATAAGCTTTTCTTTTTTTTTTTTTATGGAAACCTAATAATATGCTAATTAATTTTTTATAATATAAGTATTTGTATGTTGATAATCCTATAGTTACAATATTTTGTAAGATTATAAACTTACAATTATGATGTGACGTTAAATGAGTGTGATTTTTTATTAAATAAATAGAAATATATAATATTATAAATATAT